CAACGGTATTATTAACCTTAACTGGAGCGGAAAAAAAGAGACACGTTATCGAAGTGTGATTCGAAACAGTAAATTGAACGTTGACCGTGAAACCGTGCGAAACCGCCACGAAAATATTTACGCGTGGCTGTTTTCCTGTGTATAGAAACCGCGATCGGCAGGAAGCACACACGATGCGTGTTCGATGGAAAATTGAATTTCTTAGGAGATAAATTTAGATTTTACCGCGAAACGATTTCGATCGTTATTTTTGGTAAATCGACCAGCGGGGCGGTCGCCTTCGGGGAGGCCTTCGGCTCCGAGCAGATCCTCCGCCGAAGGTAACGTAAATTTAAAAGGAAACGAGATATCGAATACCGGTTTAATGCACCGAAAGAACATTTTCAATGTCGAAGTGTGTTTCTGGCGACGACCTTCGCTCGTGCAACCTTAGAATAACGCCACTAGAGGCGCATTGATACGTACGCCCGCCCGTCCGTCTGGCCTGTTTTAGCTTCCGCCTTGCCCGTTAGGGGCAGGGCCGCAATCTGATGTTTCTGGCCCTACTATTCTGAGGAAGATCCTAGATAATGCTTTCAAATTATTTCAGATTATTCATAGTCAGCTATATATATTTATTAGATATTTTGTAGTAACGGTGAATGAATTTTAAAAATTGTAATCTACCCCTTGGCACTAGAAAGTTTTTGTTCTAGAAATATTCAAGACCCACAGCCTATTTTTTCTATATATATTTACTAGACATTTTCTAATAACGCTGAATGAATTTTGAAAATTGTTATCTACCCCTTGACACTAGAAGGTTTTTTTCAAGAAATATTTAAAACTCTAATTAGATTTAACACTAGAATTACTGTGGCAGTGGAAATGACTGGTGTCAGTTTTTTTATTTCGCAATTATTGGTATGAAAATAAATAGTTTCACTTCTCCGTTGATATTCAACAATTTCCAGAGTCACCAGTCCTGATGCCAGTGCCAAGAATTCTAATCTACTTTCCGCAAACTCTTTTGTTTTGATCGGGTCGAGAAGCCTTTTATCGATTCATTCATTTTACGCGATAAAGCCCACTATTTATGCGAAATAACTATACACGTGACGAGATTATATATTACCGTCATAAGATCACTTTCTACACAACAAAACAACTTACAGTACCATTTTTAAACTAATCTAAATATTCATTTAATTTTACATCATTTTATTCTTTGAAAACACAAACTAATTAATTGTCAGAAAAAAATTAAGTCGCTTAAAAAGATAATTAAACGACATTGAAGTTGTCCTTGAGATGCAGCCATTTTCCTACCAGCTTCTAACAGTATTCGAAATATTCTTTTTAAATATCAAACAGTATGCCATTGTATTTTCAAAATCACAACTTGCAAAATAAAACACCGAATTAATTGCAATCAGCTTTTTGAAATATTTTATTTAAATTGTATGTCGTATAGTATTCGAAATTTTTTTTTCCATTGAATTGTGTCGTACATATTCGAAATTTTCCGTTGAATTGTGTCGTACATATTCGAAATTTTCCGTTAAATTGTGTCGTACAGTATTCAAAATATTCTTTTTCCGTTGAATTGTGTCGTACAGTATTCGAAATTCTGTTTTCCGTTGAATTTTACCCAGCTGTGAGCTGTTGCAGACTATGGTAGTTGAAAACGGACCGAAGCTTTCCCAGGCCACGATCCTAAGTGCACGGGACGCTCAGCGGAGGCGATCAAAGACGACCTTAGTCGAACCACGAACGAAGTTGTCCGACCTCGCCCGATCAGGCTGACGATAGAAGCCGAGATCGGTCGAGGTGAGACGACGGAAGGTTCATTGACCGTCTGACCATGAGCCGCGCCCCACATACGCTCCTCTCCACGTTCATCGTCCACGGGTTTCGGTTGTTTTGTTGCTCGTAACCGATACCTCAAGATCAAAGCCGTTCTTCTGGAGAAGGTCCTCGTCCTGCCCCGTTGAAGACCTTCACCTGTGAGCGCGATAAGGCCGCACACGTTAATCAGTGCCTCCTGGTGCTGGATTTAGAATTTCTATATATATACCGAAATGGAATTGATCGTTTTTGCTCTATGTACTATCCTTGGCAGAGTGTGTTTGATCAAAATCGCTCGTACGTTCGTCAAAGCCATTGTTTACATTTAGTTTAATATAGCACATCCGAGAGGAAAACAGGTCTTGAATAAAATATTGAGGAAATAATAAATGATCGTTGGAATATCAGTCTTTATGGAATATCAAATAATATATTGTAGTTTGACGATAGAACATTGTGTGAAGTGTAAGGAAATATTCAGATTGCCTTGAATGGTTTGAAGGAAGAGGACAACGATGGTTGTTGGAACATTTTTGGAAAATTGAAACTGCTTCCTTAATTTGGTTTTAGTCTTTTTATTGTGTACTTTATAAGTCACTGTAGTTTGTTGACAGATGTCTGGTTTACTGGATTGAATAGGTTTCGCTGAAGGTAATGCTGCTGCATTACGTGTATTTTGGAATAGATTCTTTTGGTCAGGTGTTTAAGGAACGTTTCAGTGAGATTTTGAGCATTGAAATTATTGCTTGTAATGTTCTTGTAACGCTATAGTCTGTTACCTTCCTTGCGTTGTTCAAATAAATGATTATTGTTGTTTGTTTTGCATGTTGATACTTTGGAAGTACTTACTTGTCATTTACGTGTTGTAATATCAAAGGTTAATGGAGTACACAAATGTTTTGTACTCGTTATGGATGTACGAAATAAATATCCTTTCTGATTTGCATGAGTATTTTATATGTATTCAGTGTAAGACAAGGGAGTCAATGTTCTAGGTGGTTTTTATTATTAAAGATGCCGGAATACATTTTATGAATTATTTACTCATTTTCTTCAAGTCAGTTTTCTTATATTTCAAACAGATCACTTAGCATGGGATAGTTTCTACTTAAAGTAACTTCCAGGTAATAGACAGAGAAGGGAGAATGAGTGTTCGTAAAGTTAAAATGGTTACGCTTGAGAGAAAAACGAAAACTTTATCACGATTTGAAGTAATTGTTAATACATTACGTTTCTGTATCATCAGGTGCAAAGGCTGAGTATTAATAATGAAACGTGGAAGGAGTAGCATGTGTGTAAGCAATTAATCACCGTGAAATTGTCAAGTATTTTTATTGTAATCTTCTCTTTGTTTCAGCTTCCTAAAGGAAGATCTGTGTGCTGTGATTTATCACTCAGGGGGCCGAAACACGCGCAACAACGGACAACCCCACAGGACAGGGGGGTGCTTCTCGTGTCTCGGGAGGAAGGTCAGGGTCAACAAATAACCTTGACTGTAACACACATACACGAGCCGCTTCTTTTTAAATCATCCTCAACCAATTCCCTGTGTTACATTATTCCCTTGTGACACTGACATTAAAAGTATTCAATGCCTTCCAGGGACGATATTCGCTCCCTATCCACTGAGCAACGCTGGATCCCTCCTTCAACTGTTAGACGCGATGCACTCACCCCAGAAAGCAGAAATGATCTCATCTTTAGAAAGGTTCGGGGTATTCTTAATAAGCTTACGCCGGAAAAGTTCGCAAAGCTGAGCAACGACCTGCTCAACGTTGAGCTCAATTCTGATGTGATTCTCAAAGGTGTCATTTTCTTGGTAAGATATCAACTTCACTGTTCTCTGTTAACCCCTTATCCTACAACAAATATGATTCAACAAATATATATATTACTTAGATTTGAATTCAAAGTAAATATTCCTCTGTAATCAACTATTATACCTAACAGGAAATATAGGCATAACGTATGCTTAGAATTTTCCTCTTTCCAATGAATTATTAATGACAAAGTAGCCGTACCAGAGTTGAGAAAGAAATAGGCCAAGGGGTTAACGATAGAATCTCTCTCATCAACATGTATTAAATGGAAAAAACTGTCTACTATTTCAGATCTTTGAAAAAGCGCTTGATGAACCCAAGTACAGTTCTATGTACGCACAGCTGTGCAAACGGCTGTCTGACGAAGCTGCAAACTTTGAACCTCGAAAAGCTCTCATCGAAAGTCAAAGAAGCCAAAGTACATTCACAGTTCTCCTCCTTAATAAGTGCAAAGACGAATTTGAGAATCGTTCAAAAGCAAGCGAAGCATTCGAGAGTCAGGATGAACTCGGCCCGGAGGAAGAGGAACGCCGGCAGGTGGCCAAGCGAAAGATGCTTGGCAACATTAAATTCATCGGAGAACTGGGCAAACTTGGAATCGTATCGGACTCAATTTTACATCGCTGCATCCAGCAACTACTGGAGAAGAAAAGGCGCGGGGGATCCAGGGGGGACACCGCTGAGGATATCGAGTGCCTCTGCCAGATCATGCGTACCTGCGGCCGTATCCTTGACACGGATAAAGGTCGCGCACTCATGGATCAATATTTTAGACGTATGAAGTCACTGGCAGAGAGCAGCGATCTTCCTCTACGCATCAAGTTTATGCTGCGTGATGTCATTGAACTACGCCGTGATGGCTGGGTACCACGCAAAGCTACTAGCACCGAAGGTCCAATGCCTATCAATCAGATCCGCAGTGATAACGATGAGTCTTCGAGGGGTAATGGCTTCCATAGACGAGAGGATCGCCTCGGAGCTGAGTTTTTAAGGAAGATGGGACGTGGCGGATTAGACATGGACATGATCGGAAGTATTCCACTGACTTCCCCGTCGTTTGGCATGCCATCTCCATTCAGCCCAAATGGATTCTCAGGAACATCCGGGGTTGGTTATGGCCGCCACAATCAACGTAACCAACCGGGTTACTATCAGAACCAGAATCGTCACCAAAATAACTATCAAGGGAAACATAATCAACAGCAACATAACTCGCCGCAAAACTTTAATAACAGTATGTATATGATTATGTCTTTTAATGTTACAAGAAATTAGCAATTATAGATTATGTATTTACTGATGAGTCTTAACGAATTACAGGTAGCAATAAAGAACAATTACGCTTCAATAAGAACAAGATGTTGATCGGACACCCAGAAGAAGTGTCACTTAGACCGTCAGCTAATTCTATGATGTTTAAACAGACTAACATCAATCCCAATCTACCTCTGAACAGTGGTGAGTATTTCATGAAATCTCTCATTAAACGTTAGCAATCGTGAAGTTAGTAGTAGTAGTAGTACTGGCATCATTTGGTTGAATAAACGTGAGAGAAAACATGGATCAACCGAATCTCTAGCCAGTGGATCGAGTTGACTATTCGGTAAATTGCAGAACAAAAACTCTTATCATGACAATTACAGATCTGTTCCCAGGACGAGCATCAGAATTACCTCTCTTACGTACCACTACACTGAAGCCCAGTTCACCGTTATTGCACAAGGAATTGCCGCCAGCAATTGTAATAAAACAAGGTCCGGTAGACAAACGGGAGAAGGCTAGGGACAGAAAGGACAAAGGGATTTCCAGGGAGGAGATACTGAAGAAGGTGAACGCGCTGATGGACGACCTTGCGACACACACGAATACACAAGATGCAGTAGCAGCTTTCCAAGATCTTAAGATACCCGAACGATTTTTACGTCATGCCGTTTACACGTTGTATTCCAATACACTGGACCGCGGTGATTCCGAGCGCGAGCTCGCCGCGAAGCTCGTCGTCGATTTGGAGAAGGCGGAAGCGATCGCTGTGCAACAGATACACGAGGGGTGGAAGGAACTAGTGTCCAATATACCAGAAAAAGAGAGTACCGTGCCTTGTGTAGCGTCACACGTAGCCTATTTGACAGCCAGGGCTATCGTCGATAATTTAATTCAGTTGACCGACCTTGTCGCCGTCACGGAGAACGGCCAGCACCACCCATTGTTTTTACTCACTCTTCAGCAGCTGCATAAAAGCCAAGGCAAAGCGAGGCTCACGCAGATCTTCAACGAGAGCAAGGTGAATCTTATTAGCCAACTACCGGAGGCGGACAAGACGAAGGAGAGATTGGCGGAAATTCTAGAAGACAGAGAGCTGACCTTCCTTTATCCGCTTCTCAAGATCCAGGGAGACATCTGGCGTCAATTAGAGTACGACCCGAACCCCAATACTCTATACAAATGGATCAAGGAAAAGCTAGAACCCTCGCATCATACTGATTCAGAGTTCATTAATGCTTTGATGAACGTTCTTCTCAAATACATTACACAGGTTAGTGGTCTGGTATCATTACTATTTGAAAAGATCTTTTTCTATTTTTCTTTTGTCAAATATATTCATGATTATATATTATTTCACAAGTTAAATATCGAGGTTAGCTATTCAGTCTTGCATGATAGCTTGTAATATTCTAGATTTAATATTTTTCAATATTTCTGATGGTAACAGCATGCTTGAATTAAAAACGTGTTTTCTTAGACGTTCAATTTTTCTATAAATTTCTGTTGCTTTTGAGAC